CATCTGTTGAGCCTTCATGGTCATTTCTGTCGGGGGTAGCACTCATTTTCTTTGTTTCTCACCAACAGTGCTGTCGGCTTCACCTGTTAAAGTGCTATGGTTGGGTGGAGCTGCTGTCTGCTACGACTTTGCTGCAGTTGGTTGATACTTGGTTCTAATTCAGAACATGATTGGTTCAGACCCGGAGAAACTCCCCTTTTCATTGGCTGTTCGTATAGTCGACCAAAACATGTCAGAATGACGACTATTGAAAAGCATATTGATCATGTTTTATATCGATATCTTATCGTCCTATTGCTGTCGTTGAAGGTCGTCTCCGGGGTTCAGGAACTTTCTTGTTTCTGGAACGGTCTGAGTTCTCGCTCTCTCTCGTCTTGTGGCGTCGTTCAGGTCGCTGACATGTCAGTGATTTAACTCCTCGTCAGACAAACAGGTTTTTTTTTTATCCCTCTTTTGTTCAATCGTTCTCCCCCCTTTGATTACATCCTCCTCCCCCCCGGGTCAGTGAGGCTGAGTGACAGCTAATATCCCCCTCTCTGACATTCACTCCTCCCCGCTCCCTCCTGGATCCCTCTGTTCCCGAGGAGAGACCATTTTCACATCGGTCTCTTCACCTTTTCACTCTTTGTTCCTGCTCTTTTTACAGGCGTCTGATTGCTGGAGGTTTCCCCGGCGCCGAGCTCGAGCTCGTCAGTCACAGGAGAGTTTTCATTAAGCAGCCCGTTTGGTTGCTGAGCTGCTGTTTGGATCGTCTCCTGCATGTGTTTTCATCTGCAGACTCCAGAGACTCTTCAAACCAACATCTTATTTCCAAAGAAGAACAAACACACTCCTATTTAAACTGAACAATCCTGCTGTGTGTGTGTGTGTGTGCGTGTGTGTGTGTGTGTGTGTGTGTGTGAGCTGCTTGTTATGCAGCGAGCGGAGCAGCACAAAGCCTCGGGGATCAGGAGTTTGTTAGAAACTTTTCAGATCAATTTCAAGGAAATTCAATGAAGGTCTCGGAGTGAAAACCAGCTGACGGCCTCTATCTCTCACTCACCCTCAGTGATCTTCTGCTGCTGCTCATCTCTGCTCTGATTGGACGGTTTCAGATGATGATGATGATGATGATGATGATGACACACTGATGTAAGAGGCTTCAGCTTCATCGTCTGGACTTTGAGTCGACTTTGTTCACGAAGCTCAGACGATGTTTCTGAATGACTCTGAAATATCAACAGAGAACCTGCTGAAACACTGAGGAGGAGACTTTCATCATCAGGAACCGGTCCAAACGGGCTGAGATCTGGACCTCAGAGTCCTCCTCCTCTCAGAACACATTTACAACTTTAAACCTGAACAGATTATTTATGATGAAACTTTGATTTAGAGCAAAAAGAAGGAAATAAAGGAGAGTTTATATTACAGCAGAGGATGAAGCTCGGTCCGAGTAATCTTTGATCAAGTCAGAACCAGAACCAGAACACTTTATTTACTTCAGTCATTATACTTCAGTCTTAAATGTACAAATGAAATGATGATCAATAATCTGATCCAATAGTTAACCGTCTTTAGGGCTGGTGTCCACTGGCAGCAGCATCTTTATTATTCTGCAGTTTGGAAAAGTTCAGTGTCGGCTGATATTTTCATCTCTCAGGGTTTAAAGATGGTTTCAGTTTTGTTTGAACGTTTTGATTTTGTCTTTTAAAAGTTTCCTCATTAAAATAAAAAAACAACGAGGAGGAACACGGTCCGATTCTTCAATAATGAGCAGAATAGAAACAGGAAACAACATGGGACCTAAACTTTCAGCCCTGACCATCAAAAAAATAAACATAAAATTTGATGTTTCACTCTTTTTATGGTAGTTATTGTGCGCTACGTCACTGTTGTTTTTGATGGTAAAAACATAAAATCATCATATTTCCCATATAAACTGATCTGAATACATTCTTTATAGAGTCTGGACATGTCTGCGACGGAGGATTAGGACCACGTTAAGAAAGAAAATTCAAGACTTTGAGATTAAAGTCATTAACTCATGAGAATAGAGTCATAATTAAGTATTTACTTACGAGAATAAAGTAGAAATAAATCATTACTTACAAGAATAAAGTTGTAATAAAGTCCTTATGTACTGACCTGTTTAAGATGACACTTGTTGAAATGAGAGCCGTGAAGTATTTCATGAAAATGTTCTTCAATATAAGTTTCTCAAACAAGGAGAGACTTAATCATAAGTAATTATATTATCACGACTTTATTCTCATCAGTAATGATTTTAGTTCGACTTTATTCTCGTAAATTAGTGACTTTAATCTGGAAGTCTTAATCTTAATTTCTAAATGTGGCCCTAATACTCCGTCGAACATGTCAATGATGAGTTAAAGTAAAATCGATTTTGGTGAATTTACATTTTTCAGTTGTTTTAAAGTCTAGATTCTCCTCTCTTCCAAACTCCATCTTTATTTTTTTTTTAAAGCAGTTGTTTTTTATTTTAGACATTTTTAAAAATCTAAAATAATCTGACAGGGTGACGGTTTACAGCCTCCTGTCAGGTCCCCCTCAGTCCTTCGTGGTCCCGTCTCTGAATCATCTCAGAGTTTTTGATAAAATCCGTCCTGGAGATCGGACAGAGCTGCTGATCGGTTTGTTGGGCTCGGATGATAAAAGCGTGTCGACTCGTTCAGAAAGTCTTCTTCCTGCTGGAGGAGGTTTTTGTCTGAGGGTCAGATTGGTTCAGAGATCATCTCTGATCGTCTCTTTGACTTCATCTTTTTGTCAAATGGAGCTTCAGTGGAGAGACTTCATCCAGACGTGTGTTTGTCGTCGTGTTTGTGTCTTCTGTGGCGGAGGAACAGGAAGTAGAAAAACTCTAGAGCTGATGACAGTGCTAAAGTCTCCTCCGCTGACCTCCTCTGACTCCTGCTTCACACCTCCTCTCTCTAATGAAAGGTGCTGCAGTACATGAAGCGTTTTATCCGTCTTTTAATTACTGCTTTCCTTCGGAGACGTTAATTAGAGTCAGAAAAGACGAGCAGAGCTCCTCAGAGTTCAGAGGAGAGACACTTTCTCCTCCTGTTAGTCAGTTTGAGACGCCGACAGTAAACAGACGGTTTTATCTTCACATCATCTTCACTGTAAACATGTTTGACCTCAGGTCTGAGTCCTGAGAATCTAGATAACAGAGACTAGATTCATCTGCAGAAACATCTATGTCGTCTGAATCTGTACTTGTATGATTTTCTTTTTCACGTTCAGAGTTGGTGAATTTTCTCCCTTTCATGTGATGCTTGAGTCCGTCTCATGGAGCTCTTCTTATTGAATCAGGTGAGCTCTCCAGGTAATCGGAGTCAGGTGTGACTGCTCGCTCGCTCGCTCGCTCGCTCAGTGGGTCTGGACTCTTTGAAGTCCTCCCTCTCCTCTTCCCTCACGCTGACATCTGCAGAGTCTCCTGCTGCAGCTTCAGAGCTGAGAGGAAACTTCACGCTGAATGAGGAGCCGCCGCCACCGCCCCCGGACAGGAGGCCGGAGAGGAAACTGAGAGACTCAGACATTTTACCAGCAGAGACGGACTCTGGAGCAGAACATGAGACTGAAGATCTGACCTGTTTCATCCTGTAACACAGAGAGAGAGAGAGAGAGAGAGGGGGCGGGATCATCCCAGCGAGCCGCCATGGAGATTTACAGCTCAGTCTGAACCAGCTGAGACCAGGACTGGGTTTGAGGAAGGATCAAAGTCTGAGTAAGGTCAACACATGACATTTCAGGGTGGGCGGGGCTTAGACTCGTTGACTCTTACACTGTCAATCACTCAGTTCGTTTACAGTCTCAGTTTAATCAGAATAAACTCATAATTCGTCTTTTTCTCTGAATCCGACTGAATCCCCAGAGTAGAGGAGTAGCGTTGGTCTCCTCTTTAGAAAATGTAGCGCGTCCATCATGTCGGACAAAAACAACGCTGTACGATGCTCCATCTTCTTGTTTCTCCAAAATGTCCAGCAGCAGTTGTAGACACTTCTGACGTCTGACACCGACCTGCTGTTGTTGTTGACGGTTGGATGGGGTCGGAAACAGCGCCGCTGAAAAGACACATATCGCCCCCTAGTGTTGGGGAGGAGGACACGTTCACGTCAATAATTCGAAATCAAATTCCAATCTCATTATCTGGGTGTTTTAATCTCAGACTATAGTCAGACTAAGGTGTTTACATGACCTTCAGTTGTCTGGTTTTAATCGGAGTAAGGCGATAATTCTGTTTTCTCGACTGTCATGGAAACGCACTGAGTGAACGGATAACCCGATGGCGTGCGTGTGTGCGTGTCCCCTGAGCGATTCTTTGATCTCAGGATTTTGGTGAAAAGAGAGAAAAACAAACTAAAGAGGAGTAAATCTTATTCTTCATGTCCACCGTGAACACATTATCCTGAACGCCTTCATGACCTCTCATCATGATCGCCGCCCACCATCTTCATCCCCTCAGCCTGACCTCTCCCTCCTCCTCCTCCTCCTCTGCAGCAGGATCAGAGGCGTCACCTCTGAGGATCCATTACTGACTCTGAAGCTGAATCATCTTCAGAATCATGTTCTGCTGGAGGTGAAACATCAACATTTAATCACACAGAGAGGGAAGGAAGGAGGGATACAGGAAGGAGGGATGGAGAGGTGGATGAAAGAGGAAGAGGAAGAGGAAGAGCCCTCCCACCTGTTCAATTATTTGTACCTGCTCAAAGTCAACGACAGAGGATCTTGAGTTCTTCTTCTTCTCAGGAAGTTCGATCAAATTACTCGTCTTCAGGATCAACTTTGACCCCCAATACAAACAAACTTTGACACAGTTCGAACCACAGACTGTATTTACTCTGGACGACTTAGCTCCGCCTCCCGTCATTAAACAAATTTGAACCTGAAAAGTTCTCGGTATTTACGGGATTTTCTCCACTTCCTTAAACCAACATTGTTCATTCAGCAGGAGAGTCGCTGTGATGACGCTCGGCTCAAACAGCGTATCCCCCGGTGATCTACTCAATCTCTGTCCTCCCATTGGCTGTATCAGGTGTCAATCACAGAAAACATGAACCCCCTAATAACTTTTAAAAATGGAGCTGTACAGAAAAAAGAGGACTTGAGCACAAACCAGTCTGACAGTAACTACATGTCAACATCGCAACCAGGGGGGAGAAACATTTATATTCTGAGTCATTCATTTAGAAAGTTTGTCCACAGCTCCATAAGGAGGCGGGGTTTAGGACCTATACTGCAGCCCGTCACCAGAGGGCGCTGTTCTCTGAGTGGAGGAGGTAGACAGCGTCTGTTCTAGATACAGTCTCTGGTTCTGAGTGAGACGTCACCTGGGACAGGAGGGCAGACGTCCCCGCCTGAACTGATGATTCACTGATTCACTGCTTCTCCTCATTTCGACTCGTCTGTCCGTGTCTTTGGAGCTGCAGCTGTGTTTTCATTCAGACCTCCGCTCTCTCAGGTCTGCAGTTCAGACGCTGAGGTGTCTGTATGAAAAGAGTCGGGGTGTGTATCTGTGTCTTCCTCTCATCACTGGTTTTTATGTGTTTTTCCTGTCCCTGAATCAAACCCGAGGATGCTCTCCTCTCTCCTGGTTTTCTGCAGTTCCTCATCTCCTCTTCCTGTTTTGATTTGTCTTCTCGCTCTTTTTGTCGTCTTTTTACCGACTCCTCAGTGAAGCTGTTCAGAAATAAATCTGCTGCTCTAAATGCTGCTGTACTCTACATTTATGAAACATTCATGTCTGAAGCTCCTGCAGCCGCGGGGCTCAGAGGGGCACAACACAGGGACGCAGGGAATCTACATTTACTGTGTGTGTGTGTGTGTGTGTGTGTGTGTGTGTGTGTGTGTGTGTGTGTGTGTGTGTGTGTGTGTGTGTGTGTGTGTGTGTGTGTGTCTGTGTGTCTGTGTGTGTGTGTGTGCGCAGAGCTGCCACCAGGGAGTTCTACATCCTGTACTTCTATTCTTAGCTCCGTGTTTGCATGTGAACATACGTATGAAACCTGCGTGTGAACTGATCTCTCTCTCTCTTTTATATTCGTCTGTTCAGATAACAGGAGGAGGAACATTTAAAGCTGTTTTATGGAGGTTTATCTTCGGTATATTCGGGTTTTTAAAGCTCTGTCTCAGTGGTTTGTGGTGTTCGTCTTCTCTCTGATGACCTGAATCAGTCTGAACCTCGTCGGTCCATCAGTACACCTGTGTTTAAATATCAGAGCCTCCATGTGGTCTGTCGGTCTGTTGGTCTGTTGGTCTGTCGGTCTGTTGGTCTGTTGGTCTGTCGGTCTGTTGGTCTGTTGGTCTGTCGGTCTGTTGGTGTCCTCACCTGTACTGATCGGTGCCGCTGACACGCTCCATGTTTGATTTCTGCTCGGTTAGTTCACTTTTTTATACGACCTTAAATGAATTTATCGGTTGTGCTGTAATCTACGGTGGCCGAGAACTGCCACTGCTGCAAAAAAAAAAAAATGCAAAAAAAAAAGAACGCCACAACAGAAGTTACCAATGCATTAAAAAAAAAATAATAAACTGTGCAGATAAAAAAAACAAAAGCCACAACGGAAGTTAATGATGCAAAAAAAAGTGGCTTTGCAGAAAAAAAAAAAAAAAGTTACTTACTGCGACAATAAAAGGATGCAAATAAAAGAAGTCACAATGAAGGTGAGCTGTCGGGGACCAATAAAAATGATGCACCGGCACAGAAGACGACAGAAAGGTTATTATTTAATTTCACTTTGTAAACATTTTAATGTGTCATGGTTGGTTAGTCCATGTAGCGCCTGAGTCCATATGAAGTTAACACTAGTTAACACTGTTAGCTTCAGTTCATTAGCTTTCCTTATAAGCATCCTTTTATTTTCGCAGTGAGTAACTTATTTTTTTTGCATTATCACTTTTTTGTGTCGGTAACTTCCGTTTTGTTTTTTTTAATCTGCACAGTTTCTTTTTTTAATTTGCAGCGAACTTTTTTTTTTTTGCATTGCCACTTTTTTTTGTGTCGGAAACTTCCATTGTGGCTTTTTTTTTATTATTTATCTGCACAGTTTCCTTTTTTTATTTGCAGTGGGCTTCTGTTTTGTTTGTTTTTTTGCATCAATAACTTCAGTTGTGACTTCTTTTTTTGGCCTTCTTTTTTTTTTATTCACAGCAGTGGCAGTTCCAGGCCACCGTAGCAAGCAGAGACTGTAAAAACTCGTGGTCAGGACTACAGAGCGGTCACAGTTTCATGTTTACTGCTGAGCACATTAACTCAGAGCGTCGGTTATTCCTGTAGGTGAAGAGCAGCAGCAGAACTCTCCACATCTATGAAACACAGGTGGTGCAGCGAGTTTTTACACAACCACCATGATGGTGATGGTGGTGATGTCCATGTGATGAAAATGTGATGCAAATGAACCCCGAGACTCACTCAGAGGACACGGATATTTATGATCCGTGCACTAAAGGCAGCTGACACCAGAGTTTATGACCGAGGGCCGTGTGTGTGTGTGTGTGTGGAGCTGCTCCGTCTGCATGAGCGAATGAAAACGGAGGAAATGGAGGGATGGTGGCAGTGAAGGGGAGGGGGAGGTGCCAAACGTAGATGGTGAGAGAAGATCATATCACTTTGAGCTGCAGGGGTTGAGATGATGGCCCGGAGGTTTGAGACCCTCTGCATATTTAACTGTGTGTGTGTGTGTGTGTGTGTGTGTGTGTGTGTGTGTGTGTGTGTGTGTGTGTGTCAGCCTGAATTCATGGGCATGTCAGTCAGCCTGCAGGAGGAGAGAGGGAGGAGGGAGGAGGCCTGAGGAGAACATGAAATACTGTCACAATGAAGGACATGAAAACGAAGGATTCAAACAATAAAACGACAACACGACGACGACACTGTCTGTGCACAAACATTTCTGATCATTTCTTCATGGAAATACAATCAGACCGAGACGCTAAGACAGAAGAACTACCGCGTCTGTAAAATGATCAATATGGTGATTATTACTTCAAGGAAATGATAAAGAAATGATCATAAATGTTCTTCCTTGAGCTGCGGCACCCCGCTGTAGTCTGTAATGGACTGGCCTGAGGTCTCTCTACAAACAAGCGTCTGCTGGAAGAGAGTAGGTGAGTTTTCTCTCTGTAAATATTTGAGACTGAACCTCTACGGTCTGTGTCGGATGGAGATAATGACCTCTCAGTATAGAGCTGTAACTATATAGATGTCCCGGTCTGTCAGTGTCAGTCTGGACCGTCGCTCTCTGGTGTCTCCTGTCCTGATCAGCTGTAATTAAAGGACCTGTTTCTGGACCTCTTTGTGGCACAGATCCGGTCCGCTCTGAAGGTTGTGACTGTCTCCCTCTATCGCCATGGTAACCGTCCACCCATGCTGAACTTATTACTCCGCCGTCTCCTTCCCACAGACCTTGATGAGGTTCTGGACAGGCCTGCTGACATTTCTGTTGTGTCGGTAGACGCAGCGACGCCCAAATGTCAGCCCTCGCTGAAAAAGTGACAAACTTTGGTGGTTAATGTCGGCGCGTGAGACGGGTGAGAGAGTTTCCCTGCAGGTGTGATGTCTGTCATCAGGTGAGTTTACATCAGCTGACAGGAGGATGAGAGCGCAGACAGACAGATGGATCAGGCGTCTTCTTCTACACGTGCTCGTCACCTCTAAATATTTCAAAGTCATGAATAAAACATGACGGGGTTCGACGCCAACAGGTGGAGGGGAGATTGCACCGCTCTGCATCACTCCGCTCTCTTTGTCTGCATCTCTATTTCCTACATTCGATTATCTGCTTTTGTCCAAAGTGGTTAGTTTTTTTTCTCCTCATGCATCAGGAGCAATTTCAGGGCTAAATGTTCCTCTCAAGGACACATTAGAGAAGCTCTTTATGTTTTTCTCTGTTTATTTAAAGGCCGTTTTTACGAGGCAGCAGAGAGAAAAGCTGTTAATGTTTCTGGTTAACATGAAATTGATCTTTATTACTGAGGTTGTTGCTTTATTTTCTTTCAGCCTCGGTTTAATCTCGCAGAGGAAACATGATTTAAAGCTCCTGTGAGGAGAACGTCGTTATTTTTTACTGTTTATAAAACAGGCAGATATTGACATTAATGCGTCTTCATGACCAAGAGGAGTAACCGAGACCACTGCAGTGAGATTCATGGATTCTTCATGGTCACCATGTCCAGATCTAACTTCAGGTTGACCTTTAGGAGGAGGGTCTTCATGCATGTCAGCCACGTCAGCCGGACCTCCAACTCTCCAATCCTGAAACTTTAAAACAAACTCATAAACAGGCTGTAAACATGTAAATCTAAAGTCAGCCTCTAGTGGACACTCGAGGAACTGCAGTTTTTAGCACTTCAGCATCAGCAGAAGTCGCTGCTTGGTCAGTAAAAGACGAACCTTTAATTATTTTCTTCTAAATCTGTAAAAATATCATGTTGGTGTTGGTTATGATCCTGGTCGATGTTTGTCTTTGAACAGAAAAGTGATGATGAAGACGAGGAGGAAGAAGAGGCCGGCTCATGTTCTCTCATGTTCCTGTCTCTCACTTCCATCCTGATGCTCCTGGACACTCTGAGATCTACTCGGATCATTTCGAGCTTTCCTCCTCTCTGAACCTTTGAGTCGACGACCTCCAAGAGAAGCTGAAGGTCAGACGTACTTTTTCACTTTTTCTCTTTTGACTCTTTCTGGAGAAATCGAATATGCGGTCGCTGCTCCTGCAGGTTTCTCTTCGACTGAAAAGAAGAGAAGAGAAATCTGCAGAGCGTTGCCATCAGTGTTGTTTTCGTCAGGCAGGACGAAAACTTAAATGACGACGTCAGACCCCTTTTTTCCTTGACGAAAATGAGACTAAGACGAACGTCACCAAAGCTCGTAAAGACTAAAATGTGACGAAAATTGTATTGATTTTCGTCAGACGAGAACGAGACGAGACTACATTGTTATTAGGTGGACGAACAAAGTTTCAAAACATGATTTTTTTTGTCCTAACAGTCACGCCCCCATCACACACGCACCAAAAGCCTCGCTCGCTCACAGCTGCGCGCACACACTCATACACATACACAGAGCGGCAGGTGGACGAGGCGCGCACACACACACACACACACACACACACACACACCGTGGCGGCAGGCACAGCAGCGGTGCCCGGTGGCCGAAAAAAGAGGGATGATTTTTGGTCCTACTTCAGATACAGTCCAAGTGACAATAAAATAAAAGTGACAATAAAACACGGGACGGGGAGACGAGACAGACGACAGTTGAGGAGCCACAGCTTCCTCATGCTGCGGCTTCAAACTGTCGGGAAAGAACACCACGAACCTCAAAAGGCACCTTTACGTCGACTAAAACTAGACTAAAACCTTTTGAGTTTTCGTCGGACTAAAACTAGACGAAAACTATCAAGGATAGAAATGACTAAAATGGGACTAAAACGAAGAAGCATTTCGTCAAAATGACTAAGACTAAAACTAAATCTAAAATGCCTGCCAAAAACAACACTGGTTGCCATCTGAGGTGGCAACACTCTGTGAGAGGTCAGTGACTCTCTCTAGACCGGACAAGAGCTAAAAAGCCGGGTCAACATAAACGATGGGGGACGCTTGGGGATCTTGGTGACCCTGTAACCTTTCTGCTGGACAGGTAAACCGCTTTAACAAAGTAAGACAAGTGTCTGTAACAGAAGTGTTTCTTTATCCTCGTTGTACCTTTAAAACTTTAAAACAGGAAAAGACAAATCAAGAACCCCGACAGGAACAGCCGAGCAGAAGAAGCCGTCAGCTCTTCTCCCTCAAACATCTAAACCTTCAATATAAAGAGGTTAGATCAGCGCGGTGTGACCCGTGTTTGATGGGAGGATGAGCCCTGCAGCTGCAGCCATGAGACCATAAATGCTGAAAATGAAAAAAGGAGCAGAGACACGAAGCTTCAGCTCTCATCACTTCAGCTCGGAGCTTTTCTCAGAGCATGCGTGAGGACTCCTCTCATCACCAGCTGAATGACTCTGTGATAGGGAACATGTGCTGGAGGCCTTTTCATGCATATCGTCGAGAGCTTCTCCTATCTGCAGGCAAACAGCCCTATCAGCCACTCCCAGCATCCTTTGCAGTTTCAGTCATGCAGCCTGAGGAGAGCTGCCACGAAGAGTCGGGCCTCCTCTATCTCAGCTCAGCACACATCATTAAAATCCAGCTGTGGTCGAGCGAACGCACGAGGAGGAGGGGGAGGAAACAGGCGATGAAGAAAGGAGGGTGACAGAGGAGCATGTCAACAAACGGAGCTGAGATGGAGCTGAGATGGAGATGAGATGGTGTCGGATGTTCAGATCTGATCAGATGAGGATCTGACAGACAGTGAGAGAGTAATCAAGTGTTTGAAACGCCGTTTTCTGCTGTTAGTTTTAAAGATCCTGATCATCTCGTCTGTCAGGGAAAAAAAAGGACGAGGATGAATATTTATCAGAGTTTATAAAAAACCTGGTTCTGGTCTGACGGAGGAGCTGACGGAGGTTTCTCAGCTGTGCCTGTTGACACTGTGGAAAAATACTTTAGTTCTGATGTGGTAGAACTTCTCAGTCACGTTAATTTATGAAGTAAAACTGAAGATCAACTTTGAGTCCAGTTTGGATAAGAAGGGAACGTAAACTGAGTTAAAGTCCTGGTTGACGATCACACACACACAAACCCCTCCCCTCTGTGCTCCACCATAACTCCGCCCCCTGAACCTGTATCCCCTCCCCACGACACGCCTCCTCTGGCAGAAGATCCTACGCTAGCTTCACCATGTCGGACATGAACGATAAAAGGAGATAAAAATGACCTGTTCAACTAAAACTCTGCTGTCTTGGCGTCTGTTTTCTCCACCACTCCAAGGATGACCTGATGGTGATTCACGTTAGATTTCTCGTTTGGTCACATGTCCTCTCTGACTCCGCCCTTTCTTCTGTCAGTTTGCGTTTTCTTCCCACTTTTGGCGGTGCGGCGAGCAGTGTTTTTTTTTTTTTGCGTCCTTCTCCATCACAGCTCCTGGAGCTAAGCTGCTACTTTTAGCCGCTCAGAGCTCCGAGGAGGGAAGGTGATATTTTTTTTTTTTGGATGGTAGGGGAAAGTCCCGCCTCCTTTGCCTCTGATTGGCTAGAAAAGCTGGAAACGTCATCACGCGCTCAGGCCAAACGCGGGCTGTCGTCTCTGAACATCAAACAGAACGCCATCGCACTTCTGAATCTCCTAACCCGACAGACGATGACGTTTCACAGCTGTAAGAATAACCAATCAGAGCCCAGCACTTCTAGCCAATCAGAGGCAAAGGAGGGCGGGACCTTCTCCTACCATCCTACGAAAAACAAATTCATGTCCGGGACGGATGGCTCCCATTGGTCGGTGTTTTTGCAGCCCTGAACTGATTTTTTCGTTCTTTTTTCTCTTCACTTTGTGGAGATCACACTATAGGACCATGATCACCATGGAAACGAGGTTCATAATAATTAACAATCTCTCCAATCCTCAAC